CATTAAATTTGTAACCTAAACACATTTATACTAAAAATTATTGGGTAAAACTCGATCATCTTTACTGTTAGAAACTAGTTGGATATATCAAGTGAAACCAGGTCGCTCTACAGCTGATTCTTTCAAAGAGAGCGGAGATCTTCCACTTCCTTTGCTTCCACCAGCGAGTACCTCATCGAATACTTTCAAAGCTGGAGTGTTCTAGCTGCTGCCTCTTCACTCGCTGATCTATGTCAACATCATCACTCGCTGACTCGTACAACTCCTCGACCCATCGTCCGTGGTATAAGCCGTTGCCAATGCGCACAAGATTTCCAAGGCCGACCTATCGTATGTCGATATCATCTATGCTTCTGCACCATATAGAATGCCGTAGGCTTCTAAGTGCATGTGTGTTTAGGAAGTGGCAAGACCGTTGGGAGAATAGCTCCAATGGTTGCGTGACTTATGAGTACATTCGGGATGTCTCGTTTGTGGTGGAAAATCCAGACTTCAGATTTTCTCTGAGTGTAGCTTTTCTGCGATTTATTTCTGCGGCACGTCGAGCAGTGAGTGTGGTATAGAGGGAGTGGTTTGGATGCATGTGTTGTGTGAATGTCCGATGTTCTCAGTCATAAGGTACTTAGGGGGTATGGGAATAGTTAGGACCGATGGACGGTATAGGGTGTGTGATGTTCTATCATGTGGAGAGTACATGTCTGTGTTTGAAGTGTTTGCGCGTGATGTGTTTTAGACCATTAGGTTAAGAGTATGAATAAGGTTCAACTCCAGGCCACCAGTCCGCAGCTGTATGGAAGCTCAACTGGTAATAGCTTCGACTACGAGATTCGGCCGGAGACCTAAAACTGGTACTACGGGAAACAGCAGCCCTCGGAGCTTGCTCCGACCTGTTCAAGCGGATAGGCCCCCTCGGAGAGTAGAGTGGTGGCTGTGGTTTAAACCTAAATGAGGAAACAGTTGAACTTGTGTCAGTTCAATGTGGAGTTGCATTGCAACCGGGTGCTAGACCCATAGTACGGCAGAGTTTTTAGATTGGCCTCAAACCCCACAAAGGTGGTTAGTGTGTCCACTCCACACTGCCTATTGGTACCATAATGCTTGAATTATGGGGCGCTGATTATTATTTTCTCCAGCATCGAAGTGAAGAAATCTCACGATAAAGAGACAACCGGTTCAAACATCGCTTGGTACCGAACGGTTCGGAGAGCTCATTACCAATTCATACTACGCTTCTGGCCTTGTCTATCGGCAATTAGACCTGGTAAATCAACCATTGACCAGATCCTCACCATAAGCGACATCTTGGAAAACACTATTGAAAAAAGAATTTGTATACATTGCCTTTTTTATCGAACTTAAAGTTGCCACAGCATAGTAACGAGCTGCCCCCACCTTTAGTGGAATATTCCAATATTCAGACTTTCGGAGTTTATTTCGGGATTACAGCCTTTATTTAGATCGTATTAAAGAATTTGATATTTTTTATTCAACTGATATTTTCATAATTTTCTGCTGTTCATAAAAAAATCTCCACCTACAGACATACATAATACAAATGTATGAATATGTGGTTAAATTTGGAAACAAAAATTATTACTTTTAATGCTCCATCAATTTGGGTCAGCATAGAGTGCCAGCAAAGAATGGGTAAATAAACTTGATGATACAATCAAATAAACGAAAAATGATTGCAATTGAAATAAAAGAAAAAAAACAAACATTTATGCAAACATATGAGCAAAAGACTCCCAGCAAAACGTTTGTCAGATTTTAATATTATAAATACAATTGTATATAAAGGGTGATTTTTAAGAGCTATAGGAAAGTTCTCCCAAACAAAAAAACACATTAAATTAAAAAAAGGGCCTTAAATCGCAATATCTAGGCGGCCAATTGACCGATCCCGAACGTGAAATACTATGTTCACCGAACTCGCCCCTCAATAAGTCCATTTTTACGCGTGCTGTGTGGCATATGGCACCGTTTTGTTGAAACCACATGTCATGCAAGTCAAGCTCTTGCATTTTGGGCAAAAAAAAAGTGTGATATCATCTCACGGTAGCGCTCACCATTCACAGTTACGCTACGATTCGCATCAACTTTGAAGAAATACGATCCAATGATGCCGCCAGCCCATAAGCCGCACTAAACTGTGACTTTTCCAAGATGCATTGGTTGCTCTTGCAATGCTTCTAGCTGATCTTCACACCAAAATCGACAAATCTGCTTATTTACGCACCCTTAAGCGCGAGATGAACTTTCTTAACTAAGCACGCATTTTGATAATGAAACTCAATAACTCCAAGCATTGTTCGTTTGTAACACGATTTATGGTTAAATTATAGACCAAACTGAAGATGTTTGACAGTGATACAAAACACGAAACCTGCGTCAGCTGCTTAAACCAGTGTTGCCAAAAAGATTATAGCTTAAAAATCACCCTTTATGTATGTACATCTACTCGTATACACATGTGCATATTCAAGTGTGTAATAAAACCTGCGGCATCACTTTGTACGCAGCTAATTTTATTGCTTGCGGCAAAATATGAGATTGCTCTAAAATTTTGCTTCCATTTGAAATTGTGATAAATAACGTTGCTTTTATGATTATGCTCAGCGTTATGAGTTTATGCTTGTATCATACCCTGTTGCCAAATGATTCGTACTGAAATGAGTTAAAAAATTTCAGATAAGAATTTCGGGATACTGGTCAGACGTACGCCAGTCTCATACTAGTTTAAAGTGTACAAAAAAGTTACTAGTTTAGTTTTTAACAAAAAAAGGTTAAAGAAAATAAATAAAAGCAATATTTTTAATATTTTCATAAGCCAAAAAAAAAAAAATAAAATAAAAATATATAAAAAATATTATGAATGAAGATAATTAATATCTTTATTTTTGGTATTAAGCGGACTTGCGCTAGCAGTAACTACCCTGCAGGGGTAATTAATAATTATTAACTAGAATCCAACTAATTTTACAGCAACTAGTTCAACTTGCATGTATTTCCCAGGGAAGTAACTAGAATTTTTAACATAGTGATGTCCTACGAACTATCAATTGTCCGACTATACAACAGCTTAATACTAGTTGTAGACTAGTTTATTTCGGCATGTTTACGATACAAAAAAAAAATCATATAAATGAGTCGCACGCAGCGAGATTTGAACCATGTGCCTCATGTAGCGCAGTGATAGTCTTTACAAGGCTTGTGATGTAGAAAGCAACGAGATTAATGTACCTTAATAGAACTTATTAGAAAAGGAAACATACGAATGGGGTGGCAGCATCTACCCATTTTCAAATGAAAACGAAATTGTCGAAGAAAATTTTTCCCCAAATCATTCGAATTGATGTGTCATGCGAGGAATTCTCAAACGAATATTGTTTCAAAAGAAAAATTCAAAAAATACTTCAAAGACTTTCTAACTATATATATTTTAATGCGCTTTATCTAAAAACTCTAATAAATTTCATATTCTCTTTTTTCGCTGGACGAATGGGAAATTTCCAACGGCTCAAAACTCGTTGACAAAGTGAACAGCAGAATCCACTCTCCGATGATTTCAATTAACATGAGGCAAGCGACTTTATTTAGACAATTGTGTGTCTTCCAGGCCGAACTTATTGATATCATTAAAACCACCAAAAGGTTGCTCAAATATACGGTGGCAGGACAATCAATGATCCATTAGATGTCTACATTACAAAAAATATCACTCCAAAAGTGGCTAGAAGATGTAGAAGAACTCTCGACTGAATGTAAAATCGTCGTGATCTGAGTGCACTGTCCAGTCTTGACAACTGCGAGACACAAGATTATCGGGTAATATTACTTTTTTAACTGTCTCGCAGAGCTATCTCTTACAAAGCAGACAAAATGGTGAAGCCACATCAACTGAGCTCGATTCAGTATCAGTGTTATTATAACATTGCTTTGTAATAAATAAATAAAAGTAGAACAATATACGACGTTCAAAGCGATTGTACTAGAAGCTATCATTACCATGTGAGATATACACCCACAGTGATCGTCGTTCCTTGCCAGGGGGTTACCGCTCTTAAAGTTTTATTAACTATTATTATAATTTCAGATACTTGTTCTACCAGAATGTGATAAAAATCGAATTGTATTATAAAATAATAAGCCAATAAATTATTAAAATTGAATTCATATTAAAATTCGATTTTCGAAAAAACCATTTTTGAATGCATGAATTTAGAACTACGATACATCTCGAAGATCCCTCCTCAACCAGAAGGTGTTTCTCTGATCTCATATGCCGATGATTGCTCGATATTGGCGTCAGGCCAGGATATTGATGTCTTATGTTTGAAAGTAAACTCTTATCTCATCGACCTCTCCGACTTCTTCATTGGAAGACATTTAAGACTGCAACCCACAAAATCCTCGGCTACACTATTCACCAGCTGAACGAAAGAGCGCAGGCTCGAACTCGATGCGAAAGTCGACGGCTTTGAAATTCCGACTATAAAGAGTCCAAAGTTACTGGGAGTCACATTCGACAACCCGCACTCCTTCACTCCGCATACAACAGCAATCGCCGCAAAACTCCAAAGCCGCAACAAAATTCTCTACGCCTTAGCCGGCAGCACCTAGGGAAAAGATAAAGAAACTTTGCTGGCAAAGCACAAAACATTTGACCGGCCGGTCGTAAACTACGCTGCACCGATCAGGGCACCGGGGACAAACTAGACGCAGTTGAAGAAATTACAGGCCTATCAAAATATCGCCAGAGTATAATTTGCACAGCGAAGCATCTATGCTGCGAGTTAAGGAGTAATCAATTTCCTGGGAAGGACCAACACATTCTGGACTACTGGTGGTGGTTTGATCGCTTCAGCCCCAACAATTATAAAAATTTAACTCTTTCAGGTTTTGAAGGTTAGTGTTTTTATTATTAAAGATGATTTATAAAATATTTGCTATTCAAATATGTGTAATTTGTGATATAATACAAAATCACTGTTACTCACTTTACAAAATGATTTAATTTTTCCCGTCCTCAGGTTGATCGATTAGTCTAAAAAGGAAAAAGTGTAAAGAATAAAATAAATGTTTGTTTTATAATACTAAAAAAAACTCTCAAAAATTAGACGTATAATAATTATTATATAAAAAAATAATAAAAAAATATTTTTTTGTAGAAGCGTAATGAATAGGTGGACTGACCTTTGCAGGTATGTTCAGTCAAAGACAAAATTTTAATTACATAAAATTCCACTTTTTATTAAAATTAAGCATTTTAGAGTAAATGTAAGAATCCAGTTTTTTTTAAGTAGATAATTAATCAACAATACAAGCCAAGAAAATATTCAAAATCGCGTAAATAACGGTGAATTCGTTAAAAACATGAAATCACGCGGGACAAAAGTTTAAACACAAAACATATTATTTCATATTTTGACTAAATTAAACTAAAAACAAATGGATTTAAAGCAATTTTAATATTTTGTTGGCTTCATGCTTCTATAACTGCCTTGAAACGGCGTTGGGCAGATATAACCAAATTTTCTTTTTCCGATGGCGCAATTTCAGACTATGCCTGATTGAAGCCGCCATAGCAATTTTTCATGCCAATAACTCCCAAATATGCTTATTGGAGTTCAAGTCTGATGATTGCGGCGGACTATAACTATAAAGCTGACGAGGAGCATAATATAATAGTCATTCCTTCCCCAAACCCGCTGTATGACTATGTCTGTTGTCTTGTTGAAATATCTACAAGCTTCCGAGACCCAAGGAATCCACGAAAGACTGCTTTTGTGGATCCAAAATACTTTTGTAAACACATATGTTCATTATTCCATCGATAAATGTTAAATGTCCTACGCCAGTTGCGCCAATCGCTCCCCAAACCTTGATACTACTCTCACCGTGCTTAACGGTTTGTATTAAATTTTGGATTTGATAAGCTGTCATTGCTTTATGCCAAATTTTTACACAGCCAAGGCTTTCGAACACGTTTAACTTCGATTTGCCCGCAAACAGTAGTCTTCTCCAAAAGAATTCATCCATATCCTTGTATTTATTTGCAATTTAAAGACGAACTTGCTTATTTTCCTCAGATATTAGAAGGAACTCTGCTTCGATAGCTATCTTCCCGTAAAGCTCTTGCTATAGTTTTTGGCTGTACATTTCTGCCCAATAGTTTAGCGTTGCTGTCGGCTATCTTTGGAGCACTTATTTTAGGATTTTTTGCCACTTTCTTGGGGATAAAACTAACATCTCGCCTGGAAAGCTTGCGTGGACGTCTAGATCTTGGCCTATTGCTAACAGATTTGTAGGTTTTTACTTTCGAACAATATTTTTCACACTCACATATTAGGATATCAAGATTTTTTCCTATATCTCGGTAAGATTTTCCTTCTTAAAAATGTTTAATCATTGAGTTTTTAACACCACCCTTTAATTCTTTAACCGATTTTTTCCTTTAATTTGCATTCACTGTTGGAGAAGGAGTTGCATCTAATACCGCGTAAATGTATCCTAAATCATGGAATATAACGGTACTTTCTTTTTAAAGAACTTTTGTCTCGCGTGATTTTAACGAATTTACCGTTATCTATGCGATTAATTATTTACTGCATTCTTATATTGACTCTAAAATGCTTAATTTTAATAAAAAAAAGGCATTTTTTTGGGTGCATTTAAACATTTGTCTTTGACTGTACATAGATATAATTAAGAAAAATATTTAAAAAAAAAATGATTCCGGAAAATATTACAACACTACAAAGAGCTAATTCCAAATCGATCTTATTATTGATATCATTTGTAGTATTTGAAAAGCAAATCATGCATCTACGATGTGTCATGTTTACATCAAACCAATAAAACAATGAAATAAGTTTTCTGTGTTTTGCACTTCAGACACAAATTACAAACTACTAGACAACAAACAGCTGTTGCCGAATTTCGTTTGTGTAAATACGAGTGCCGGTGCACTGCGCCTGCGCAATAAGATACAATTTTTTATTTAATAAGTTTTTTTTTTGTTTTTTTTTTTTTTGCAAACTATGCAAGCAAAAGATGCTCATAATAATATGTATGTACATGCGCGTGAGTAGTGAAGAAAAATGCGATTTCAGCGCTTCGTTACACAATGAACGCAATAGAAAATGTAAGGTGAAAAAAATTGCTTACAAAAAAAAAAAACACAAAAAGTATTGTTATAATAATTTGATTTGAGTCGTCAATCAATGGAAAACTTACAATTTCAACAAAAATGTATTGTTTGAAAATATATGTACATATATACATATATAAGCAGTCATGTGTTCATGCATTATATACTCATTACATTCATTGCAAAAATTTGTGTACCATATGAACCATTGGAGTAATCCAATAGGTACTGCTCGCGGTAATCAACTATTGGATCAACTCGCGTCTAGTTACAACCCTGTTGTTAGCCGATGATAGCTCGTGCTTTGACGATTGCAATTACTAATTAAAGATGACATGCATCTGCATCGTGCTATAAGACTTTTAGTCGTATATGGGTAATGAACTGAAATTGAGTAAGTTTCGTTACGTTGATGAACTCAGCTGGGATATATCGAAACTAAAAATTATGTCCAAATTCAATGTCATCGTAGGTACTCCGTGGAGTAATTTTTGGATTAATTTCAAAACTAATCTCATGTGCATATGTACTCCATGTTTTACTCGGATGTTATGCTGAATAGGTGGAGTATTTGGGCCAGCCCTAGAATATGGCAATGGCAATTGGACCAAATTTTTGTATGGATTGTGAGTAGTTTTAAATCACTCCATTGCCCCCGTGGAGTATATATACCATGCTTGCATGGAGTATTGGCGTTGTTTGCAGGGTATGCTCATGCACTATGTACTCATTACATTATTAATCGCTCATATGAATAGATATTCATGAATTTACCATGCAGTAAAGCAGCAAACTTCTCAGAAAAATAACTTCCGCTTGTGGCATATTTTTTGACTAAAATCGCGCTAATCAGAGCAATAAAACCATGATTTTTCTTCAAAATGGTCTAAGAAGGCACATATATATATACATATGTAAATTCTATTGTACTTCAAAGTTCTTACGTTCTATAATTTCTAGAGATAGTCGTCGTTCAAGACCACCTCTGGTTCAAGCCTGAAAAAATCCTTTTTCTTTAAAACAATTTCAGCTAACTGTTGACGACTGATGATTTCCACTTCGTAAGGCATCTCTATGTTCAAAATACCATTTGCATATATGGCGAAAAGTTAGGTAATGGACTAGTTGTGCTTACTTAGTATACTAGTTTCAAAACAGCTGTTGACTAATATATTTGTATACATGATTTTTCTGTACATATGTTAATGTGGAACGCGTGTGTAAATGCGTGAAAATAATTAGAGCAAAAAATTTGAAGCAAAAAATTATGGTATAAATATAAATTGTACAAGTATCTCACAAAGCACAAGTAAAAAAATGATTGGAATAATTAAAGTGCAATTTGACACACAAACGTACCAATAAATATAAAACAAACTTGCAAAATTGCACACAATTATATTGCTTTGCTTTGGTGATTGGATTAAAATATAAATATAAATATAAATATAAATATAAATATAAATATAAATATAAATATAAATATAAATATAAATATAAATATAAATATAAATATAAATATAAATAAATTTATAAGTATCTACTTTAATAAAATATTAGCAATTGAAATAAAATAATTTAAGAGGCGAAGAATTTCTTTATGCCTTTTATGAACAGAGACCAATTTTAATTCACAAAAAACTGATCTTAATTTTAAATTCAACAAATTGCATTCCGAGAAAGTGAAGTAAAACACAGAGCGCAAAAAATATAAAAGGTGCAGTTTCTTAAGGGCTAAAAGCCACTTCAGGATTTTGGAAAACACAATTTTTTTTTTTGCTTTACCTTTGGATCCTAGAAATGATATGTAATTGGTTTTAAAGTGAAAAAAATATATTTTAAAAAGCTGAACTTTTTATTTTGCTACCGCCCCTTATAGCGGTACGCTGAGTACAACAAAAATTTTAAACGCGTTTTTCTCAAAATCACATTTTCCAAACTGCGAGGACAGATTATTCGGACCCTATTGCAAAGATTTATCTGAAATTTTGATGGCAGCTTCACAAATAAATTTTTTTTTTTTTTTGAAGTACGCAGCCGTTTTTTGATTTAATGTAAACTTCTCTTTTAATATTTTAGTGCATACTTTTTAGTCCAAAATCAATGTTTTGAAAATAAGGTGTGCTATTTTTACAAAAATTAGTTAAAAAACGAACAACGCTGGCAAATTATTGAATTTTATTATCAAAATGCGTGCTCTCTTGGGAAAGTAAAAAATCTAATGCTCAGCAACGAAGCTCATTTTAGGCTAATGGGTGCGTAAATAAGCAGATTTGTCGATTTTGGTGTGAAGATCAGCTGGAAGCATTACAAGAGCTACCAATGCATCCAGAAAAGTCACAGTTTGGTGCGGCTTACGGGCTGGTGGCATCATTGCACTTGTTCTTCTTCAAAGATGATGCGTATCGTAACGCAGCTATGAATATTGAGCGCTACCGTGAGATGATATCAACCTTTTTTTTTTGCCCAAAATGCAAGAGCTTGACTTGCATGGCATGTGGTTTCAACAAGACGGTGCCACATGCCACTCAGCACGCGTAAAAATGGACTTATTGAGAGGCGAGTTCGGTGAACATAGTATTTCACTTTCGGGATCGGTCAGTTGGACGCCTAGATATTGCAATTTAAGGCCCTTAGACTGTTTTTTGTGGGGCTATGTTAAATCTAATTTCTATACAGATAGACTACAGCCTTTAATTGGCGCATTAGAGGACAAGATTGAAGCACTTATTCCTGAGATACCGGCCGAAATGTTGGAGAGAGTATACCAAAATTGGTCTAAGCGGATGAACGATTTGAGGCGCAGTCACCGTCAACATTTGCATGAAATAATCTTCGAACGTGCAATTATATGGATCGACTCGAATAAAGATTTCATGCATTATTCTGAATTT